AAAAAAAAAAAAGATCAATTGATGCTAAGAACATTCACTTCACTCACAGCCATAACCCACATCAATCACTGCAAAAACCCAGTAAAGAGGAAAGCAAACAAACTCAATAACATAACAAATAAACAAAAGGTAACAAATTAAACAGAATAAATAATTCCGAAAAAATAAAGACAGCAAACTAGTAAGCAGAAGAACTTATACAAACAGAGAAAATTGCAGTAAAGCTCCAATCTTTAGGTCAGTCCGTTGACTTTCGACATCTGGGGTCAAGAGGAAAACGGTTTCGGATATTGTCCCGAGTTGATTTCTTCTGTTCTCCCACCAAACATGAGGAAAATTATGCAAGCGGGCCAAAATAATTGAGAACAAAAATAAATAAATAAACAAAAAATTGCAGGTGGTGGTGAGAAATTCAAGATCTTGAAAGGTATGACTGATCTGGTAAGGCATCGGAGTTAGTACAAATTTATTCATTTTTTTTAACAAAAAAGTGGCAGCTATTCTTTTGAATCTATCTACAAATATTATATTGAATGTGAGAGTTGGATTGTAGGTAAACCTAAGGCCCAGACAAAAACTTTGAATAACATTTTTTTTTTTATTATTATTTTTAAGCTTGGGAACAGTACTTAAACCAAATCAGCTCAATTAGTGAGCTGTTTGCTTAATAACTTGGAAAAAAAAAAAATATGTGTAAGTTTTAATAGTTTGACTAGTTAAAGTTCAAATTTGACTCATAAATTGTTGGTAAATAAGTTCGTTCGAGTTCACTTACTGACACGTTTAGCTAACGAGTTAATCTCGACTAAAGCTGAATAAAAGTTTGAGCTCAAGTTTAATGTATCGGAATAAAAGTCTGAGCTCGACTCTTTTACACACTCATGTAGCATATAAAAGAAATGTCCTTCAATTTATGAATATAATAATATCACGGATTAATGGTTAGAGTCCCATTCATACGAATTCATAATGTCGCATAATATCAATTAACATCTTATTGCCAGGTTGGAAATAATTAAAGTCTATTACTTTTTTCCTTCTTTTTTTTTTATAAATTATTTTTAATCATTAAATTGCAACTGGAAAATCAATTATAATCGAAAAAGGACAATGTTCATTCAACACTAGCTGCATTCAGATTGAAGACATTACATCTCTAAATTACATAGAAAAACACTACATAACTTACGCAGAGAACAAGCATTTTTTTTTTGTTGTTCTTTCCATTTCTTAATAAGTCCTTTTTCTACTAAGATCATTAGTCTGAGTCTGGGCCGGGCCTCAACCGAACTCCTGGAAAGTACCTCGAAACATATTCCCTAGCAAGAGTTTGAAGATCATCATCATCATCTCCAAGCACGTTCTCCTGATCGACCGGATTGCAGAAGCTCGACATGTCCTCGTCGTTAGGTGACGTTGAGTTGCGCGCGGACGATTGGTTGATGCGGGGCAAGGAGAGCTGAGGTGGCGGCAGCTGAGGTGGGGCCCGATGCAGCGTGGATATGCGGGCCTGCGTGTAGGCCAGCTCGGCCTGGAGAGTAACAACCTGGATTGGAGAGACCCATGTATGAATAAGCTCTATTTTGGTATGCCTAATGATAAATTTCCAACATTTTTTAATATTTTTTTTTTTAGGTATGCCTAATGTTAAATTTCCAAAATTTTTTAATATTTTTTTATGCTTCTGTTGTGCCCATTTTCATCTATTTTTAAATTTTAAAGGGTGGTTCGATTTTATCTATGGGTATTATTATTATTATTATTCTTATTATTATTATTATTATTATTGTTTTTTTTATTATTATTATTATCATTATTGTTGTTGTTGTTGGATTAATAAACACGAAATTAGTAGTTATTTGGTTCATTGTTTAATGAAATGTCTAACTAGATAGATGACTAAGGCCCAATGAAGCTAACATGGATCCAGTAAAAGTTAGACCTACTGAGACCCAAACAAGTTGGGCTTTATTAGAGCATCGGTCAAAATTCACGCTCCCAAGTCCCAATGTCTCAAATTATTGACATATATCAAAATATTGTAATATCCAGGCCCATCTAGAGCCTACGGAGTACGGACTGAAGACTACACCAGTTTGGGAGATTAGATCCAACATGATGTGATCGGATTTTTTGCTCTTGCCGAGTTCTAACATAACGTTTAGGCCCTCGGCCTCTTCATTGTACCAACAAAAAAAGAAAGAAAAATTACACATAAAGATAAAAAATAAATAAAAAAATCAGTATAAATTATTAATGTTATCCTACCCACAAAACAAGGAAAGTGTTTGTGTGATGTGTGCTATTGTACGACACACTGGGAATTTAACATTAAGACATGCAATTCAATGTCGTAAATTAAAAGGCAAGTTATTAGGGAAAAAAAAAAAACAATGTACCAAAGTCAATATTATATGACTGTTTGCACGAAAAAAAAAATATATATATCTATTCTATGACTGTGTCTATTTATATTTATTTGAGTTTTGAGGAGAAAATTTTATTTTTTTATTTAATAATATAATAATAAAACTAACAGTTTTACCTTATTAAAATAGGAATAGAAAATATTAAATATATTGTGATTATTTGCAATCATTTTTTCTATTACATTATATTAAACATTCAGTTAATATTAATTGATTTAAATTGAGGATATTAATATTAACTATCGGCTCGGCAACATTTGTAGAGCTTTGATCATTATTTACTTCTGAATCATAATTATTTTTATAACTGAAATTACTTTCTTGATTTATTTTTTTAATTTGGTTTTGATGTGCACAGTATAATTTATCTTCTTACCAAAACTATTTCTACTTCAGGTACTTTACTTACCCCTATCCTCTATTTCTTCTACTTCACCTAATAAATTCAATTAACTAAGTCTCATTTTATTCACTTACACATATTATCCTCCTATTTATAGATATCATCTTCTGATAAATATCTTATGTAATATTCTACCGCAATTATGTTTACTTAATATCAGAAACTTTATAAATCTTTTGTAATATTCTCTAATAAATGTCAGAAACTTGATGTTTACTTAATTTAAATTATGTTCTAGAGAATTTCATACTCTTCTCAACTTCCATTTCCAAAAATTTCGTGAATTTCTTCACTCTTTTAGGTTGTGTTGCATTACATTTACATCCTTCCAAAACATACCACAAGATGTTGTTTAAGTTTCAACAATTTATTCAACCTCATTCCACTTTAGATTTGTTATTTTTACGGGGCGATGTTGAATATTTGCTACTTATTTCTATTTTCTAAGAATGCACACGTTAGTCCGGTTGTTGGAAATTTCAACTTTAGAGTGGTTTTCATTGCAAAAAAAATTAACGGCCATGTTCATAATTGTTACGCGGAATTTAATAAACTCTACCGTTGTGTTAATTAAACGAAATGAGCTCAACTCAGCTCAAGTCGAGTATTAGGAACTCGCTTGGCTCGTCTCGTATGCAACTCACACCCCACCAAACTCATAACAATTAACAACATTTGGAACAGAGAGAGTGGCGAGCACGCGCAGGAACTACGTACCTGCTGTTGAAGGGTGAAAATGTGGCCAACGCAACCATAGACGGGGTCCCTAACCCTAGCAAGCGCCTCGTAGCAGAGGGTCACGACGGCGTCCAGGCGGCAGTGCGGCGGCACGTGAAGGAGCAGCTTCGAGGCGTTGCTAGCGCCGAACACCCTGTGCACCGCCGCGAAGTGGGCCGTGCCCTGGTCCGAGTCGAAGTACGGCGCGAAGACGCAACCCCTCACGCACTTCCGCCTCAGGAACTTGCACGCGCCGCAAGGACTGCCGCCACCGCTTTCTTTGGCGCCGCCTCTTTCCTTTCCGCCGCTGTCTCCGGTGCTCATTGCGTGTTGTGAATTTTGGAGTTTTGGGGATTGAAAAAAAAATCTCAGGAATATTGGAAAGGGTGGTCAATGAGCTTATAAAGGTGGTACGGACTGCGGAGTCCTCATTTGGTTTGCTATTTATTGATTAAGTAAAGGGAGTAAATAAGGGAGTAAAATATGGGACATTGTTGGATTTTTGTCGTACGAATCAATCGCACACGCAGCGGAATTTTAAAATTTTCTTACCAACAAGAAGATCCGGTTATAGCTATTCGATTTTGATCCTAGATCGCGAGAACTTACAGTTTAAGCTTTGTCTTCAACTATGGTATCCACGCAATCCAGATCCGCACGATCCAACGCAGTGAATCCCTTCTGGTGAAGACGCTAGGAATCCTCAGTCAGAAAGCCAAAGAGAGAGAGTTTGTGTTTTTACGGCATCTCAATTATCTGATCTCTTGCAACTGATAAAGAGATACCCACCTATTTATAATTAGGCTAAACCTAATTATGTGGGCTTTAGGACAACCTATAGCCCAATAGGTAATTGGACCTAATCCAATTAATGATTTAATTAAGTCTAAGTCCAATTTAAACTTAATTATATATTTTCTATCTAATAGAAAATAATCTCATTACTAAAATTAAATATTCCAATCTAATTGAATATTTAACACTCTCGATTCACTCTTAGCCGGAAAATAGATTGCATATTGTGTGACCCTATAGGCCTTCATATATTGACATAAATCTAATTTATGATCCTTACGAAACTCCTAGACTGCGTCGAAGGACGAACTCAAAATATGAAGTACGTTTACATAGACAAAGCAAACAAACCTTTAGTGTAGAATTCAATAGTGATACGGTCCCTTCATTCACGACCCACTCGATTAAGCTTAGGACTTGAATGTGTGTCTATCCAAACAGCTTAATCATTTTATCTCATCCTACTGGTTGATTTTATCAATTACATTTGAACACTATTTCAAATATAATCATATGCACTGGCCAGTGACTTTATCAATCAGTATAGAGAAAATGAGTGTTCTCTCGAAACTATATTCGAGGAATGAATCCCATCTTGGCTCAACTACCAATTCCATGTATATCATGATCTACCCAACACAAGCCCGTGTCTACCCATAAGGGCGTAAGCGTTGGACTAGGTCTAAGTAAATCACTCTATACATGAATTGCGTATTGACCTCAAGTCAAAGGACTATTACACCATTCTACACACCGTTACTCCCATAGACACATAAACAAATGGTTTATCGGTAGGGTATACCAATACTCTCTAAAGTATCCATGTGTCCATCACGAATAACAATTATTCATAGTAGTGAGACATACTATATTCTCGAAGAATGTGATGCAGACCACATGTCAATCTATAACGTATCATTAATATCCCTTTCTTAATGATCATCGATTGAGGCAATTTAAGAGTTATACTCTATCGATTAACATCTCACTCTGTTAATGACAGTATTAACTCAAGGGAGCATTTAATCAATAAATTACAGACAATCAAAAGAATTCATTAATAAATGCAAAACCACGAATATCATCAAATATAATATGAATGTGATCAAGTACATTTGTCCCACATTGATTGCCTCTAGGACACATATACTAACAGACATATGGTAAGGAAATGATACGGTCTCGTTACGGAACTATTTCACCAGGTTTGTAACCGTAAAATTATTATGTAACCGTCGGTGATAGTTGATATAATGGTTACAAACTCCAACAGTATAATTTTGTAATGGGATTGTAGCATCTCCGCATATAATAAGCCTTGTATTGAGGGTGGTTCATGGTTCATGGATTAATGGATCGGTGTATCACAAAATTATTGTACGAGTCAGGCAGATGTATTATTTGGGTAGATTAATCATTCATTTAAAAAAATACGTATTTATGTTATAATATATATTATATTTTTGGAGAATGCTACCATCCCGTTGTGGGATGGTTCCATTGTGTTTTCTAGCCATAGATATACATGTAATCTAGTAATAATAGTTAATCCAACGCTTAAAAACACAACGGAACCATCCCGTAACGGGATGGTAGCATTCTCCTATATTTTTATTTATGTTTTTTTTTAATATTACATTTTATTTTAATTTTAAAATGTACATATACGTAATGATTAGGAAAACCTAATAGGAGCCAAACCGTTGGTATATATATTTTACTTGAGTGAAATAATGATATTAATTTACAACATTATAGAACTTGACTTAGGCTATTGCTAATTAAATATTATTTGTCACGGATTATCTAGAAACACTCACCATGTTCAATTAAAGCTGGTCAATTCATATCAAACGAGCCAACGCTTCAGCCGAGCTCGAGTTTTATTAAACTTGAGCCGACGTTGAATTTGAGCTTGATCATAGTTGAGCTCGAGTATGAAGTTTTTTAAGCTTCATCAGTTTGAGCCTCTCAAATGCAAGTAAATTACCTAATTAAGTATCCCTAATTAACTGCACATTTTCATTGAAACATTGTACTTAAATTTGAGCAAAATTCAAATCAATCAAATTAAAACCAATATTCTCAGCTAAAAAAAATGAAACCTAATAACTCAATAAGACATAAGTAGAGAAAACAAAGGCAAACAAACACAAAGGAAATTGCATGTTTGCGTGAAGCAAAGAAACACATCATCTTCTTGTTTAACCGCCGGAGTTGGCCACTATCTCCTTCCCACGTGTGAACTTTCCCTCACACGTGAGTCAAACATCCCATCTTATATCACTATATAAATATAAATGTGTGTGTATATGGCTAAGGTCACCAGTCAGTGAGTAAAAATCTTTTCATTCAGTCAATTCCATCAATCACTCACACTCATACAGAATTCAGTCTCAGTGTTGTCTATACTGAAAACCCTAGCTAGGGCGCTTATATATATATTTTTTATATTATTATTATATATTTTTTATATTATTATTATTATATATTTTTTATTGTAATTAATTTCTAGTTGGGGGTGATTTTTTCCAATAAATTCACAAATTAACTAGGTGGGTGTGTGTCGGTACATTTTCAATTTTATATTGTAAATTTGTTGAATATAACAAATTGCATATTTCAGTTTGATTACTCTTTAATGTTCTTATCAGTTCATTTTAATCGTGGTAACTTAGTAAATTGAACTGATGATGAGTTTGGCTCAAGACTCGTACATATTTTTTAAACTCGGTTTTGTTAAAACTGTAATTCAGTTTGTTAATATTGATAAACGAGTTAAGAACGCGCGTGCTCGTTTATTTAGTTAACAAGTTGAAGTCAACTCTACTCGATAAACGTACGCTGTAATGGGAATTCGACCTCCTTAATTGTTGGCTCAATTACACCTCTAGCTAGTTGCATAATGATATCACATATATTTTTCCTAATTTTTCCTTACTATATAATATTTATATAAACCAGATTAATGAATTTTCCAAATTTTAAATGTAGCAAGTTGAAGTGAAAGTAATCGTTTTTCTTGCAAAAACAAAAGGCGGAAAATGAAATAATATGAATTAAATTTGAAACTTCTTATTTAAGTATCATAAATCTTATAATACAGCAGCTCACATGAAAAATTATTACTAATTTTACCACATTTTTTAATCTTTATATTATTATTATTATTATTTTGTTGGGTTAACATAATATTGTTCCTTTTCTCCATGGCCTTTTGTAATTTTGACATGATAGACAAGTTGCTTTACCGAGGAGATGTGAATGTGATTAAACAAATGGCAGTTACAATCTCCCTTTTGTCCAATAATTAAAGATGGGATGGGCTTCTGTGGTCATTTTCACATGTAATAACTCACAATTTAGATTTTATTTTATTTTATTTTATTTTTTTAAAAAAAAAAAAAAGAAATAAAAAATTGGCTACATTTTTTGTTCGATATAAGATACATTCTTAATAATTAATTTGAATAGTATTATTTTATTTGATTTCTTACAATTATTTTCACTATATAGGGTCAAAAAGAAAGAAATTAATGCAGCCTTATTGTTTGGTCTAGCTAGTACTCAGTCAAGCCACCATGAACAAGCTCGAAAAACGACGTTGAATTTTCAGCACTGCATTTAAAATCAATCCAACCACACGTGGGCTACGCAATTTGGCTCACATTTCATTTCATTTTTTTTAAATAATTTATCCCTACATTTAATTGATTAATTCCCCTTGCTGTCACATTTAAATTACTATTGTTTTTATTTATTTTGTACAACAAAAATGTAAGCACTCTAATGTATTATTGTGAGAGAGAAATACTTATGTAATGTATCCAGATTTATTATATATCCTCTATCCTTGCTTCTTGATGAGATCTATAAATTCATCTATTTTCGTACTCTAGCTAATTTAGAGGAAAAAATAATATAAATGATTATATTTGATGAAGGTGGAGAGACATTTTTTTTTTAAGTGCTATTTCTATTGTTTTTTACTTTTTTATTTGTTTATATTATTGAATAATATTACTGTATCAATTTTAAAGGAAAAATAAATATATTTTGTGTGAGTGTGATTTTTTTTAGTGAGCCAGAGGTCATATTTGAATATTTGATATAAGTGTAATTATGGTACACTTTTTTTTTTTTTGGTACAAAGACCTTCCGGTTTCCGGATCCACAAGGGAACCGACTAATCCGGAATCGAGCCGGGTAGGACCACAAGGGCGGCAAAGCTCTCCCTCAAGAGTTTTAACACTGCTGCATTCCCAGGACTCGAACACGAGACCACTGGTTAAGCTGGAAGAGACCCAAGCCATCTCATCCAAGCGCTCTCGGGTAATTATGGTACACTTTGAATCAATATAATGTCTTTTAGAAGTGAATATATAATTATGATAGTGTGACATTGGGCTTGGTCTTATTCTTCACGGGCTAAAAGACATAAGTAGCCACCCCATTAAATAAATTTCTATAAATGAAACTGAATATTGTGAATCCCAAAAATACACCAATTGACTCCAACGAAATATAAA